AAGAAAGCACAACATTACAATGAATTTTGAATTTATAATTGTTCATAAACAGTATAGGTTCATTCAAAACTTATAAAACATGGGCGTTTTGGTCACCAATCATACTATTATTAAAACTCTATTAGCACCAAGGTATCTCAGAAAGTAGGAAGTTACAACTGGTGGTTTAAGGTGCTGTGTAAAGTTTTAGTAATAAAAGACCCGAATTGTAAATAAACTGAGGGGTATCAARAGTTCATCTGCGTGGGTCCCTCTTTGGGACCACAAAGCTTGTGATAAACATGATCCTCCAACTGGCTGAGATCCAGATGTTGGTACTGGCAGACATGTCCTCGTACATCCACATCATAATATTCACTGAGAGTGACAGCGGACTCCCGGTGATTTGGCGTTAGGTGGGAGCAGAGGTCAGGAGGTGGGGGTGATGGAGCTGAAAGAGCAGCACGGTCCAAAGGTGAACAGGTGCAGCTGGGTTCAGGTTCAGTTCCTACACCAGGCGTCARTGTCTCATAGTCATTCGATGTCTGTGAAGGGAACAGAAACACGTCCTGTATAAGAGATCAAACTATTATCTCCATGAGATTGTGTGTTTGCAAGGTAATGTGGTGTCTTTAACAGGCCAAAAAGACTAAAATAACTTTCACACATGAAATTATCAAGACATTCACCAGAGGAACTGTACGTGTGAACTCAAATGACCAAATCCACTGGACTGGACCAGATGAACAGCTCTTCATTCTAAGTTTGTGTAATGTCTGATTGAGCCCCTGGCTGCAGACGTTTCTGTCACAGACTGACCTCTTCGTTCTGGGGTGGGCCTGATCTCTGGTGTTTGACAGCGTGCAGGAGACACAGTGTAAACAGACACACAAACAGTATGGCTGCCACACACATCGCCGCAGTCAGCAACAGTGACATGTTGAGCTCTGCAGGAAAGAACGACATGTCCAATTACCTCGAAGAAGATTTACACACTTTAGATTTGAGTAATATCAACGCAAATGGCACACACACACAAATATAAATCACTCACTGTCCATTGGGACGTCTGTGGGAAAGTTGGATACTTCATTTACTAAGTGCAAAGACAAAAAAAAAAGTATTTATGTTGTTTATTTATTTATAATATGTATTTACACACAAACAAGCTTCATAAACATATTTTAACAGGAATAGAAAGTTCAAAAAAGAGGAAGATGACCCTGACTTAGTTCTCATTTACGGTATGAATGGCCTGACATTTATACCCTGCAGGTTGACAGATCTATCTATCTATCTATCTATCTATCTATCTATCTATCTATCTATCTATCTATCTATCTCTCTATCTCTCTATCTATCTATCTATCTATCTATCTACACATGGCTGTACCTTGAGAGACGTTCAGGTGTATGGCACTGATATGATCCGGGTGTAAGCTGACGTCCACCCCGCACCAGTATGTCCCACTGTCCTCTGGGACAAGTCTGTCCACTTTGACCAGGAAGAAGGCCGCAGTGGTGTTGTCGTACAGGGAGAAGCGTCCATTMGTTTCCCACTCGTTGTGTTGATCCGTGCGTATCAGGTGATTGTCATTGTCGTCCATACGGCAGAGGTACTTGGCGTTGCTCCACCAGCTCTGTGGGTATTCACATTTGAAGTAAAACGTCTGACCCTCCTCACCGGTCACGGCTGTGGTTCTGACACTGATCAGAGCTGTCAGAATGATAAACTCTGTTAGGTTTGTAYTTAGTTTTTGGTTTGGATCAGTTTGAGTCTGTCACAGCAGCTTAAAAAGTCCTAATGCATAAAGGAATCAGCTTACCTGGGATTTGTGATGCTGTAAAGATAAGAGTTATAATTGTTGTCCATGAGATCCAGGCTGCTCCCATCACTCCCAGTTTACTTACAGATCACGCTGTCACACTCTCTGCTGCTATTGTGTTCAGTGAGGTGCTTTTCATGCCTCTTCCTCTTTTTTAAACAACCTGTCCACACATCACACTCAACCTATGAAAGTGAAATTATGAACTTATTGTAACTCGTGTGAGTCAAAAACAACCATCTCGTGTCCTCATAAACTATATCCCACACCAGCACATCCTGCTTCAGTTAAGGGGATAATGCAAGTTTAGTTTGTTGCATCCTGCAAGGTCGTCACATCTTCTATTATAATTCATCAAGGTAAAATAGAGCTGATCTAGTCTCGAAGAAGACTCAAAGTTTTTTTAACACACAGTTTACAGTTCATTTGTGTACAGCCCTTTCTCTATCACACACAGGGGTTACRGAGGTGYACACTTGGGTATGAGGAATGAGGGAGACTGGTATCAAACCACAAGCCCTCCGGTTAGTGGACGACCCYCTCTACCTTCTGAGCCACAGCAGCCCATGATCACAAACTAACAGCCGTGACAAGGATCATCACAAGCCTAAGGGATTTTTCAGAACATGCCAGTTCAATGTATTTTACCACTGACCTGCCATGAAGAAACAGAAAAAAAAGAAARGCATTCACTTTTTCTCAATTGACACTTGACATTAAAATTACTCATCTGTTCCAAATCCTATCGAAACTTTGTTTGGCTATTAATTTCACCAATGCACAACAAAATATACTTTGTTATAAATATGTAACTATCATTGTGCGTCTGTATCTTATCATGCATTAATAATATCTGATCTGTAGAACAACAGATTAACATTCCACTGACAAGCACATGGGGACTGATATTTAATTGGACCTTGATTTAATATGAATGTGATGAGATGACACGTGTCTGTTGTAGAGGACTGGATGAGGAAGCTTTGTTCATTTMATCACTTCTTGCCTCTTCTTTCATTACCCTATTTAACAGTTTCTTTGCTGGGATCCATTTCCCACCTCTCTTCTATCAGTTAGATTAATATTAATCTCTTCACATTATTCCAACAACACATCCTTTCTTTTCACTTCTTTATGAAGAAGATATCACTGTCCCATGTTAAACAKAACGCAATYGGTTTCACTGTCATGTGGAAATGTGAAATTCTTATTTGGTGACTTTATTCATAAGACAGCTTGGAGTCACCAAAGTCTGAACTTTTAACATAAATACAAATCAGCCAAAAATGCGGGCTCAATTATAGTTTATAGTATTTTTGTAATTGATKAATTCATTTTTTTTTATTTCATACACACACAGCATCATCACATACATATGCAGACCATGTAGTTGTACATGTGCAGAAGCAGAGTGAGTCGTACAGTTCAGCCGCATAAAAACTCCATAACAACATACAAAACTCACATCTCTGAGATGAACTCAGGCTATTCAGACAAATTGAAGCCAAACCAAAGTGAGCGGGGCTCAGATTCAGTGGAATCACTGCAGGTTCTGTAGTAAACAACTGACACAGTGCTCAAACKGCTGTCTGTCACWTTGATCATAGCATTCCTCAGTGCTGCAGGTGCATCGGTGTCTTTTCTGAGACAGCCATCACCGGCTCTTTGTGATATCATGGTGCTGAGGACATTTGCAGCTGAATGTCTTGACTCTGTAGCACCTCTGGAGCAGATGTTTTCACTGATATGAAGTGGTGCGCTGTACTTGACCTCTGCGTACACAGAAGTTGAAGGATCCAGTTTTGGGTGGTGAGCACCAGAGTTCTTCTCAGATAATCCCATCATCGACCACACTTCTTTTTCAGTGTCATTGTTCTCATTGTCGAACTGTTGAAAAGTGAAAAGAGATAAATCTGCATGTCATTGTGTGTTTGACTGTGGGCTGAATGTAATTTAAAAAAAAATAAGACTGGTGACTCTCTCCCTGTCTAAATCTCTTTAAGATAATGAAGAAGTGTATTTCCTAAAAAGTTAAGTTATTGCATTAATTCCTGTATCACTGACAATAATTGTCTGAGCTGTGGTTTTAAATTGTTTAATGATGAATAAAGAACCATGTGGTGAAAGTGACTTTGGAAAACCCCCTCCACATGTCGACCATGTTTAATTTGCTGTCAGCATTATCATCATGCGTCTCTGTAGAAAGAAGGTTGTTAGGCCGTGTGGAGACATATTGACGTGTTATCAACTCTCTGTCTCATACCTCTCCTTCATCTGCACTGACGACGTCTCTGCGTTTCCTGAATCTTGTTGCCAGCAGCAGTGACACACTGAGCGTGGCGATGCTCCCAACAGTAGRGTACAGCACCATGTCTGGCCAAAGGCGAAAAGTGTCTCAATCAATTTTTGTTTGGGTCACAAGTTACACCAAATGATCAGATAGAAACTCACCTAGGCCGATGTTCTGTTTTGCAGAAGTGTAGTTTGAGTCTGTAAGACATGATCCAGTATTATTTCATTTAAATTCTGTTTATTATTTATTAATTAACTTCATATTCACATTAATAATAATATTTTCTTGCCATCTGTTATCTGCTTTGTATGGACAGTGGTGTCCATTCCAGATGTGAGATGTGTTGATTTGGGAATATTCTGATTTGTCCATGTGACAGAAATGTCAGGTGTGACAGTCGTCTTCTTTGTCTTAACTTTATTGGGATCTGCGATGGAAATCAGATTCTTAACTCAGGTAAACATACAAATACAAGAAGTTTAAACTACTTAACATAACAAGTCAATAGGTTACTGTAAGCTAAACTTACCACATACCACATACAAATTAATAATGTGAATATCATGTAAATGTAAGAAACATCCATTCTTCAAAGAGGACAAGCTTAAATGCTCGCATTTGCATTTGACACCTGATGGTGAATGGGGAATGCAGAGAGAAAAATAAAATCAAGCGCACAAATAAATCCTACTCAAGGTGATAATGATAACATCATGCACTTACTTTCCTTTACATTCAGGATTACTGGAGCAAACGTGTCAACACCGGGACGATCCACTCCACACCAGTATTTCCCTGAATCTGGCAGCCTGAGCTTACGGAAGGTCACAATGAAGAATCCGTCCGCCGAGTCCACCAGAGTTATCCTCCCTGACTCAACCCTTCTACCAGATTGTACAGTAGCCAGTATGTCTTTATTTCCCTTACACGGATTCTTGCAGAAGTATTTATTTTTTTCTGAGGCAAATTTGTGGGAGCACCTGACTGAGAACTGACCTCCCTCGAAGACCTCTATATTGCCTCCATCTGTCCACATAGCTGCCAAAAATTAATTTTGTATCAAGAGTTAAAGCATCTTTAAATTTTGAATAAATAAAAAAATAAGCATTTATAGGAAGATACTTACCATATAAAAGACAAAAGAAGAGAGAAATGGTCTTCATTCTGATTGATTACGTACTCTGGAAATTTTCTTCTGTCTCTTGAAAAGTCTACACAGGGATTAATGTTTCCTCTCTACCACTGAACCATTTTGTGCAAATTAGATCACATATGCACTTAACCATCGGCCCTCTTCCTGTGTGATGAAAATAAATAGCTGCAGGCAACACATCAGCCAAAAGAAGTCCAGAAGTGCTGCATCATTGCTTGAAGTGGCCCACGTGTGAATGCAGTCTCCCCTGTTCCGTGATACTGTTCCCCAAATTGACAGCAGTGTGTGAGTGATGTATGGTAGTGCTGCACATGGATGCACTGTGTAAATGTGTGTGTAAGTGGGTGAATGACAAACCTGTACTATAACACCCTTGGAGTGGTCATCAAGACTAGAAAAACTAAATAAATACAGACGAAACAAGTGTTATAAGATGTGAGATCATTGCCAACTGCATTTTGGTCATAAAACTTTTAAAGTTCAAGTTCACAGTTCAAAGTGTTTATTGTTGCACTGTCCCTGTACACTGAAATTATTTCTTTGCCTTCCACTAGGAATACAGTTAAGATTTTTATAGCACAGTAATCTGACTAATAAACTAGAAAGTGCTGTGTATAGGCGTTAGAGGATGTGTAACCCGCCATCATTTTGTTTTCATGCAGTTGCCTAATCACAGAAACAAAGAAGTCAGTGATGTTGCACAATTAAAATATTAAATAACAAGAGCCATATGATAAAGAACAAGAGTGAGAGAGTGTGAAAACACCCATTGGACATGTTACTTCAATATTTCAAAAAGCCCGTTTCTACTTCTGCATAAACCCGACGCTGCAGTGTATGGTGTGGGAACAGTGTAACATTGTCCACTATGACAAGCTGGTCACCTATGTAAGTACACAGCACAGTGACACAGACAAAAGCAACTGGTCTGCTCTGTGGCATTGTTGTCCAGTGGCGGAACACACACAGTCACACAGAGATTCACTAAGGAGGTTATCATCCCTGTTTGGTGGCTTGTTTGTTTGTCAGGATTACACAAAACCTGCAAAACTGATTTCCATGAAACATGTTGGAAATATAGGCCAAGAAAGATCCAGTAAAAGTGGGAGATGCAGGACTTTTTTTCACTTAATTTAGAGCACTGATTTCCCAGGGAATAAAACATGGACCGTGATGAAAAAAATTCTGGATAATTTAGGGGACTGACGAGTGTGTGGATCCAAATAAAAATCTGGATTTCAATTTCATGTCATGTGCCTACACTTCTTTCAGCCGCTGTTCAGAAACAGATAGGGCTAGAAACCTTTAACTACCACCAATGTGTAGTTGAGATAACGTGGCCTTAGTTATGAGGATTGTTTGAATTCAAAGGGATTGTTGGGCTTTAGTGTCGGTATACCCTCTGTGGGAGTACTCGGCCCACTCTGGGAAAAGATGGCTTGTCGAGGATGACTGTTCAAAGTCCTTTATTATTATTATCCGCCTCGTCAGGCACACACACACATATAATACGGTCTCTCGACCCACACACGTCCACACGTCCAGTGGTCAGAGTGATGTAGATACACAGGAGCAAAAGTATTGATGCTCACAATAATGTATCCATCACAGAAGTATAAACCAGCCGTAGCCAGGTGAAGCTTTTAGCTGCACTTCCTGTCTTTATGTTGTTGTGCTATTATCTCATTCACATGAACACATTTGTGACTGCAGCAGGAGATTTAGATTTTTTTGTTTAATGTAGAATCAGCATGTGTTCATACAGTAACTCTTTAAGAATAACTGATTCCCTCTCTCCATGGAGCTCCTCTTTGTGGCTTATTTACTGTAATACATTAGGAACTTTGAAACTGACTTAAAGGGATAGTTCACCGAAAATTTAATTGAAGCGTTTGAGTCCACAAAATAATTCTGGAGTTCCAGGATTAAACATCTTTGCAGCAG